GGATAGGCTTTTCCATGAAGGAGACAATTTGCTCTTTAATAATTAGATCAAATTCACGTCAGTACTTTCAAAGAGCCTTAGTGTGTGTTCATAATATTAGCTCTGCTAAACCTTTTTAGATAGGACCCAAGTAGTAAAGCTTTTAATAATCTTCACCTCATAATAGTGTTATTGTGGAGATCTAGTATATGTACTTTGTACTGTGCAATTTGATAAACTAATGCACAGTTGCTATCATATTGAGATGTTTGCTTATTTATTTATTACTCGTCTTTTGCACTAGACTATAAAACTAAGAAAGCAGGAACCGTAGATGTCTTGTTCACCATTGTATATTGTATCTTCAGTGCCTATCTTGGCTCCTGGTAGGTGCTTACCAAATATTTGTTGCAGAAATTAATTTGGAATCTCAGTAAGAGATCCTTACATTTTAAAATTTACATTAGAAAAAAGTGCTATTTTATTTTCTGAACATCCTATATAATCAGAACTTAAAAATTTTTAATTGTGGTAAAATTTACATAACATGAAATTTACCATTTTAACCATTTTTAAGTGTACAGTTCAGTGGCATTAAGTATATTCACATTGCTGTGCAACCATCACTACTATCCGTCTCCACAACTTTTTTGTCTTGCAAAACTGAAACTCTATACCTATTAAACAATAATTTGCCATTTCACCCCTGCCCCCATCCCCTGGCAACCACCATTCTACTTTTTGTCTCTATTAATTTGACTACTATATGTGGCTCTATGTAAGTGGAATCATACAGTATTTGTCCTTTTGTGACTGGCTTATTTCACTTAGTATAATGTCTTCAAGATTCATCCATATAGGGTGTGTCAGAATTTCCTTCCTTTTTAATGCTGAAAAATATTCCATTGTGTATATGTATACCACATTTTGTTTATACGTTCATCTGACGATGGAAACTTCGTTGCTACCACCTTTTGGCTATTGTGAATTAGGCTGCTACGAACGTGGGTGTACAAATATTTGTTCAAGTTGCTGCTTTCAGTTCTTCTGTGTGCGTACCCAGAAGTGGAATTGCTGGATCATATGATAATTCTGTGTTTAATTATTTAAGGAACCACCATACAGCTTTCCACAGCAGCTATACCATTTTACATTCCCACCAACAATGTTATGAGAGTTCCAATTTCTCCACATTCTTACCAAGACTTGTTTTCTTTCTTTTTTTTTTTTTGATAATATTCATCCTGATAGGTGTGAATATAATCAGAACTTTTAACCAAATTAATTATAAAAAACTTCCAATATAATATGGTCTACAGGTTAAATTATAAATTAACAACAGAATTAGACTATGTTTCAAAGCTTAAGATACTTGTTCAAGGTTGATTTGATACATGGGATAATCAGACTCAGATATATTTGTGTCATCCTCAGTGCCTAGAACAACTTTTGCCTGGTTTTTGAAGCCAGCAAAAACAATAATAAAAAAAACCCTGCAGTATTTACAAATATGTCAGTGATACTGTAAATAACATACTTTTTCCAAAATGTTCCTAAATGTGTGCTATTTGAAATAATTCCAAGAATCTTCTGAGATGGTTCCTAATAGAGTGACATAAACGATAATAAGAAAGCTCAAGCTCAAGGGTTCCTTGTATTCTTTATGAATCTTGCCTGAGAGTAGTATTTAACTGCATTTTTTTCTTTATAAAAATTTATTTCTGTAGAGTATACATGCTCTTCTACCATAGGATAGATACAGAAGGATGAGATCCTGCCTTATTTTCTACCAGTGGAATTAAGTAAATCTTAGGTTATCTTTGCATGAAAAAATAAGAGAATTGTTAAATCACTAAATATTATTGATGGGAATTAAAAATGACTTTCTCTGTAATGCTGAGAAGTGTTTAAGCTCCAGTTCATTGAAACATGGTTTTGAATCTACTTGAGTTGTTGATTTACGTTAAAAGAGGCAATATCAGCTGGTGCATAGACGGTTAGGATGTTAGATTATTGCTTTCCCTTTTTGGTGAACCCATGATTTAGAAGATAATACAAAATTGGCATTTATGCCCTGGGAGGCTGACCTCTATGGACTGTCTCAGTGTCTCTCTTGCCCTGTGGCTTCTGGTTGGGTTTGGCCATTGGGCAGCAGAGGCAGAGAGGATAGTGAGGGAGGGGTACTTATTCCCCCAATCTTTCCTTGAGGGGTCACTGTGGGCTTACCGTGTCCTTTGACCAAAGGTCACAGCTACTGTCCTGTGGCCTCTCCACACCAGATGAAACAAAGATGAAAGAACTTTCTGTCTCTGGGTTCCAGTAATTGCTCCCTCCTTATACCCCTTTAAAACCTTGGGATAGCAATGAACATTGCTGTTATTAGCCAAGGGGTACTGCCCTCCATTTTATGGTTTCCCTACTCCCTGCTAGCATCTTTGAATATAGTCCCTTTATTAAACCTTCCTCAGATTTCCCAATTTGAGTGTGCCATTTGTTTCCTGCTGGGATCCTAACTGAAATAGCTGCCTTATGTATTTTTAATCATTTTCCTAATTAGTATGCCAGATAAACCCTAAAAATACTTTATGCTAATTTTGGGGGGACAATAACAGAAGGTGTTGGCAGAACTACTCTTTGTTTTCCTTGCACTTTGTTTCTTCCAGTGTGTTGTTAAAGGAAAAATAAATAACACTAAATAAATAGTGTTAGATGATGTATAAGGTAGTAATAATAATAGTTCATTTAAATATAGACCCCAAAATGATGTTTTACTTTGTGTTCCCTCCTTTCCCTAAGAGAGACTAGTACTTTGATTCTCTAACGACATTATTGATATCCTTTGTATCATCTCACTGCTCAGTAATACCTCTTTGGGGGAGGGTACTTATAATATTCAAGTTATATCGTTTGGCTAACCTATAAGCAATTCTGAGGAGATTACTGGATAGTATTTTGCCTGTAAAGGATTTTAATCTTTATATACTGTGTCCCTTTTCAATTAATAAAGATAATTGGGAATTAAACATGTAGTCATCTGGAAAACTCAGGCTAAAGTACTGAGTTTGTAAGCGCAACCTGATTTTTCATTTGGGTAACAGTCTCGAAAGTGCCAGTATTACAAAGGTTAATTCTAAATTAATTCATGGTTCATTGGTAATTGTCAAGCATAGTTTCTCTTGGAATGACATAGGATCTGTTCATATCCTCTTTTCCACTTTTAGTACCAAAATGTTGTTATCGTTCTAACTTATAAATTATCAGTCTTCCATAGCAACTAGGAGATATTTGAAAACACAGGATAAAGACTGAGCTTTAAAAGAAGCTTTAATTAAAACACATCTGTAATAATAGCAAAAGAATTTGGAAAGTATACTAGAATATTACTGTATTTTTTATACTCCTGTCTTATTCTGTTCAGACAGCTATAACAAAATACCACAGACTGGGTGGCTTACAAACAACATAAATTTATTTTTCACAGTTCTAGAGGCTGGCAGTCTGAGATCAGAGTGCCAGCATGGTCGGGTGAGGGCCCTCTTCCCAGTCATAGAAGTCTGTGACCTCCTTGTTGTAGCCTCACATGGTTGGCAGGGGCTAGGGAGCTCTGTGGAATCTCTTATAAGAGCATTAATGCCATTCATGAGGACTCCACCCTCATGACCTAATCACTTCCCAAAGGCCTCACCTACTAATACCATTTTGGGGGTGAGGATTTCAACATATGAATTTGGGGGGACACAAACATTAAGACCATAGCAACCCCTTTTTTCAAAATTTCCCCTTTTACTTGCTTTGTTGAAATTCTAACCCCCAAACTACTCCCAAGTACGGTGTATGGATCAGCACTGTTGATAACCACCTGGGAGTAAAAATCTCAGGCCATAGGCCAGACTACTGAATCAGAACCTGCATTTTAACCTAAATTCCCAAGATGATAAGTATACACATCAGAATTTGAGAAACACTCCAACTATTTCCTGGGATTGTATCTTATTAGATTAAAAAACAAGTTGTCTGGCCCGCCCCATGGCTTAGCGGTTATGTGTGCGGGCTCCGCTGCTGGTGGCCTGGGTTCGGATGTGGGCACGCGTCAGATCCGGGCACGCACAGACGCACCGCTTGTCCGGCCATGCTGAGGCCACGTCCCACATACAGCAACTAGAAGGACATGCAACTATGACATACAACTATCTACTGGGGCTTTGGGGAGAAAAAGGAGAAGGAGGATTGGCAATGGATGTTAGCTCAGAGCCGGCCTTCCTCAGCAAAAAGAGGAGGATTAGCACAGATGTTAGCTCAGGGCTGATCTTCCTCCCAAAAAAAAAAAAAAAAGTTGTCATGTGTTAAAGCTGAGGTAATTTATTGATCACATAGTCACAAGTAAAGAAATTGATTAAACTTGCAGATAGCCTTTTCTTTATCAGTACAGGGAAAACAAACTTGTTTCTGTTCAATCGCATTGAACTAAGTTTTCCCATATTGTTCTGGTAGTGTAAACGCTGGTACATTGCTTTGTCAAGCTTTATACTGGGGACACAAACCTGAATGTATTCATGGAGTTCATAGGCTAAGAATGTGATGTGTGTGGTACAGTCTAGAAGATGGAAATTACTTTCTTGTGTTATTATTAATTCTACAGAAGCTGTCATTTTCGCTCACATTTCATATTCGTTAGTGTTAAATCTTACTTGGGGGAGCTATTGCAACATTTTTAGTGAGCCTTTTAAATTAAGATAGGATAGTTAAAGATATCAAAGATTACTGGACAGTCTAATATATTGATGTATTTAGTGTTTTTTCTCAACCTGTGACAGTGTCTATTAAAATCAAATTTTATTTTGTAATTTCAACTAAAAATGTAGTTATCAGTTATCTGTATAGTAGAATTTGCAAATAGCAACTAAGTTGTTGTTAACTGCTTATGGGAGGAAAGCAGTTGGTCTTGGCCTTCTATTTGGGGTATGAATTACATGTTAGTCTTGGATCATGTTGAATATATTTTTCCCTTCTCGTTCTTTCAGATTCATCAGGATTCATTTTTGATTTGCAGTCCAATACTGTACTGGCCCAGGGAGGAGCTTTTGAAAACATGAAAGAGAAGGTATGACTAGTTACTATGGATAGTAAACTTGAATGTCGTAGTAAAATTTAGGTACTAATACGGTCAGTGGCTACACAAACTCATTAAGAAAGTGATTTTTGATTTTTGATTTTTGATTTTTTTTTTTTTTTTTTTTTTTTTTTTTTTTTTTTTTTTTTTTTTTTTTTTTTTTTTTTTTTTTTTTTTTGCTGAGGAAGATTTGCTCTGAGCTAACATGTGTCGCCAATCTTCCTCTTTTTGAGGAAGATTTACCCTGAGCTAACATCTGTGGCCAATCTTCCTCTATTTTGTATGTGGGTTGCTGCCACAGCGTGGCTTAACGAGTAGTATAGATCCACACTGGGATCCAAAACCGGGCTGCCAAAGCAGAGTGTGATGAACTTAACCACTGCACCACCAGGCCAGCCCCAAGAAAGTGAAATTTTTTTGTGTGTGTGTGAGGAAGTTTAGCCCTGAGCTAACATCTGCTGCCAGTCTTCTTTTTGCTGAGGAAGATTGGCCCTGAGCTAACATCTGTGCCCATCTTCCTCTATTTTATGTGGGATGCCTGCCACAGCATGGCTTGATAAGCAGTGTCTGGGTCTGCGCCCAGGATCTGAACCTGCAAACCCTGGGCTGCCAAAGCAGAGCGCACGAACTTAACTAGTACGCCACCAGGCCGGCCCCAGAAAGTGAAATTTTAAGAACAAAACACTCTCTGATACATAGTGGCAATGTAACTACCATGAAGGTTTTGAGGAATCAGAGCCTATTAGTGCAAACATGATTTTCTTTGCATGTCTCCATATATATTCATTCTAGATTATCTTGAAGACATCTTAATATTAATTAACTAAATAATATTGTAAAAAATAATATTTATATGGCTAAATGTCTGTCTCATTTGGCAACATTGTTTAAAGAACAACCTGAATAGGGTCTTCCATTCACTTGAAGAGGATTCTTAAGTCCAGGAGACTACAGAGCAACCAGGAAAATAGATTTTCTAAGTAATATTCCTTTGGAAGAAAACCAGATGTTTTTAGTAATATAACCTTTAGTGAGCTATATTGAGGAAAACATAAAACAAAAGCTTTATGTGCTTTCTCTGTCTTATAAAAAAAGTATATTGTTGATTATGGATATTGGTTCAATAATATAAACACTCACATTTTAAGTTATCAGAATCTTACCTTTATCATCGAATCTCTAAGTTTTGCCTAGTGTCCATATTTTAGTGATCAGTGCTAAGTTTTTTGGTCATCTCAAAAATGTATATTACAAGTTAGCCCTCTTTGGATTATAGATTATATATACCTTCCTACTTGTATGGTTTTAAACCTTATCATTGTTCAATTAAGCCTGAAACAAAAAAAGCATAGAATGATATGAAAGCAAGTGTACTAAAAAAGACTTAGGTTCTAATACAGACTCTGCTTACTACTTGGACAAGATACTTCTCTTCATCTATAAAAGCACTTCCTTTTCAAGCAGTGTGGCTGACTAGATAACCTGAGAAAATTCCTAATATAAAGTACCTGGAAATACAGAATGAAAAATAACATACATCATTTTAAATGCATAGCTTAACACAAGAAGTAAGGGAAATCTCTAGGGGATAAAAATACAGAGGGAACTAAAAACCAGAGTGGTAAGCCTGAGCTAGGCAACTCTGACATGTTTTTCCAGTCTCAGTAACAAATGGGTTTTACCACACAGGGCCCTGAAACCCAAGGCTTGTCCTGGGTTAAGAATTGGAGCTGAGATCTTATATAAAGTTGAGATCCTAAAAATATTTCACCTTCAGGGAAAGAGTGAACTAGAACAAATCTTCTCAATCACTTTTGAACACAGACGTCTTACTGTACATGTTTAGAGGGATATATTTAAAGAACAAAAAGAAATGCAAATAAATCTTAAATTTTACTCAATATTTTATCATTAGTAATATCATAGGGTTATTAGTAATATTGTGAATATTATAGAATAAAGCAAATCGGTAAATAATTTATTTAACATTTTTAGGAACTAAAACTTTCAGTTTAGAGAAAATAGATACATGTTTAAAATCATATAAGAAAAAGCCTTTTAATATTATATTTGAGATGAAGATGTCAGTATGAACTCATGTTATAAAAAACAAAATCTCCTAGCTCTATCCAATGAAAGGACCTAGGAATAATGACTCCCCAGTAGCAATAAACACATCTAGCTCTGAGATCTTGGTTTCTAACTACCACTCCCTACCAAAAAGAAACAGGTCTTCTTGGAGAAATAGCCAGTTTCACATTGTGCAGTAAGATGAAAAATGAAAATTATAAGGATTGGGAAGAAAGGAAAAAACTGCTGTTGTTTATAGATAATACAATTATCTACACAGAAAAACCAAGAAAGCAACAAATTATTAGGAATAATAATTAGAGTTCATCACGGTTCCAGGATATAAAATTGATATACAAAAATGAAAACAGAATATGCAATTATTGTAAATTATATGTTTTTAATCTCAAAAAATATAAAATACATTAAGAATAAATCTGACAAAATTGGCATATCTATTTTAGTGAGCAATTTGGCATTGTCTAATGAATTTGTAGATCCCTACTTTTCAGAAATTGGTACTAGTGGTCATATACAATAGAGACATTCTCTCACTGTTCACAGAAGACCTGATTTCTTTTTTATTGCTCATAATGTGCTAAACATTGTTTTAGGCACTGAGGATTCAGCAGCAGATAAGCATGGGAATGTTCATTACAGCATTTTTCATAATAGGCAAACATTGGAAACAGTCTAAGTGTCCATCAACAGGAAAATGAATAAATTGGCTATATTCATACAATGGAAATGCTATGTAGCTGTTAAAATAAATGAATAAGAGATGCATTATCATTAACATGAAAAAAAATCTAAAAAACAACTTTATGTGAAAAAGCAAATTGAATATAGACATGTATGATAATATTATGTAATGCGAAACAGTAGTATATATATCACCTGTGGATACATGCATACATCATCAAAGTGCAAAAACGTATCAAAATAACACCAAATTCAAGGTAGAAGTCTCTGGGGAGAGGAGGGAAATAGGATTTATGAGGGACTGCATGGGGGCTTTAATTGCATCCATTTTATTTTATGAAGCCGGCTGTCATATAGTGAGTGTTCATTATATTTTGTATGCCTGAAATAGTTTATAATAATTTAAATTATCTCTATAAATTATCTTTGTAGTCTTACTATACAATTAAATGATATAAAGTAAAAATGTTTTGAAAAATGCTATGCAAAAATCTAGGTTGTTATTGTTAATGGTTCATTAAGCTTCCCACTTTTCTCTACAGTGTGCTAAAAATGAGGAAATGTTGGTGCTAAATTAATACCTGATACCTAAATTAAACCACCCTTTCTTGAAATAAAATCTAGCACATACCATCTATTTCTAGAAATGTTCTGCTTTTCTAAGTTTTAAAATTAATTTTTTATGTGCTGTTATCACTCATCTGTTAATCATTCCCAGTGAGATGGTGGTACTCTCACTGACACTAAAGAGTGGTACATACTGTTAAAAATGTCACTCTTTCCTTTATTCTCTGTAATAGGCCTCAGTTGCCAAGTGACCTACTGATGTTAGAATTAAATGACCTGTCATCTTTTCCAGATAAATGCAGTGCGTGCAATAGTTCCCAATAAGAGCAACAATGAAATCATCCTGGTTTTGCAGCACTTTGATAATTGTGTGGACAAAACAGTACAAGCGTTCATGGAAGGTAATCCTAGTTCATTTTTTTTATGTTTGTATTTGTTCAAATAGAAGCTGCTTCAGACTTCTATAACATTTATTTAGCAATCTGGTGTTTCATAGATGATATATCATGATAACATAACACCCCATGATAACATGCCATTTTTTAAAGATATCTCTTAAAGATACCTCTTTCAGTCCTAGAAATAACTCATTCATAAGCTATATGATATCTGGAATAAGAGATAAGCTGAGAAAACCCTATCATTTTACTCAAAATATTCTCTAATGATATTTAAGAAGAAATCGTGTGGCCAGTAATTAAGGGACTTGATTAGAGTTGGGTTGAATAAGCATTTAAGAAACTTTTGATGACAAAGCAATGATTCAGAGGCCCAGCAACAGATGGCAAATTCAAGGATTCAACATTCTCTTCCAGGCTCCAATATCATTTAGTTTGGCTCCAGCAAGTGATTGAATGTATGGGTTTGAGTTTGCTTATCTAACACATAGAAGAATGGAGGGCTTAGCCCCGCCTTCAGATTTATAGAGTTGAGAAGTGTTCTGCAAACTTCTTTCCACATAACTTGTTTGAGAAAAACTTTGCTGGAAGCTACTGCATCATTGAATAGCAATGTCGGATTAGGTCTCCCTGTTGCTGTTTGTTTTTCTGAATTTGCCAGGATAGAATAATCAAGTCCAAATACTATAAGGTTTTTCTTCAGCATCGTCTGTTTTCTTTATAATGTTAGTATTTGTGTTTAGAGTAGTGTACAGCTCTCTCTAAAACAACATAGCCAAGGTGGTGTGTGATCTTCTGGAAGAGAGGGGATGGCATACTTGGGCTGAAACCAGTCATCTTTGTGTTCAGTTTAAGCTATATAAATAAAAGAATCTTCAAAATGGCCAGGCTACATTAGGCTCTTCTTGGAAGAACTTACTGAGGAAATTACATGGAGAAGGGGGATCTAAATGGGCAGGTATTCCAAAAGGTAAACATGACATGATTATCTCGTTACATTAGCTCAGAGACTTGAACCCTAACTTTTCCTATTAAGAACTTTGGAAATTCTCAAGCAGTGAGACTAAATGCAGTGTCACTAATTCCTGCTTGACCATGTATGTAGTCAAAGAGAAAATCTGTAATTTGTTTCTCTTACAGGTAGTGCCAGCGAAGTACTCAAAGAATGGACAGTAACAGGCAAGAAAAAGGTAAAAATGAATTAAATTTAAAAGAATGATATTAATATTTGTATTACAAAAAAATTTAGGCTCTGCAAAAAGTATTTGAAAGAAAAGATTTACATATGCATCTTCAGTTCACCTGGCTAAAAAAAAAAGTCTTCTTCTGTGACATTGACACAGCTGTGTACATAGAATACCACACAGTCTTCTCCATGTGATTTAAGGCAGGAAACAGAATGACTGCCATGGTGCAGTTGCTGAGGGGATATTAATATTAGGCAGGGGTGAAACAAGAGAGCGTGTCAAGGAAAGCAGAGCTCCTCCAGAGAAAGTGATCTAGTCTGGTGGATTTCAACATCATTCGTATCATAGATGGGTTAAAATAGTTCAGATTTTTAGGTCAGACAATGGTGTTGTAGTCTCTGCTATTAAGGAGCTTTGACTTAAAACCTAAAGAGGGGCTTTGCTACTATTAGCTATGCAGAAGGGTCTGATGTTCCAATTTAGGGAGGTAGAAGGCACTTGGGCTATGGAGTCAATTAGAACTGGATTTATATCCTGTTCCACTACTTATTCACTTTGTGACTTGGAAGTATTGCTTAACCTTTGTGTGCCTTAGTTTGCACATCTCTAAAATAGGAAAATAATACTAACAAATACAAGTACCTAATACAATGTCTAACATATTAGTTCTCATTCCCTTTTCCTCATCCACTTAAACCCGAAATGCTTTCCCCAAAGAATACTAGCTGGTCTCAAAATGCTTCCCACAGCTCTTTGCTCCTAATTTAGCTCCTTTAGGAAATACTTGAAATATGGGTTTTGATAAGTATCTCTATGAAGTCTCTTCGGGATGTTTTTTTCCTGTATTAGGTTAGTGCTGGAGTTCTGGAATGCTTTCTTGATGTCTCTAAATCACATTGTTAGGAGTTCTGTCAGGTCTTGACCAAACCAGGCTTGGCCTCAGTGACCCTTGAGAATTTTTTCTAAGGAGAACCTAATACCACTACAGATTCCTCTGAAGCTCTCCATACCTGTAGCTTTGAATATTTGTTTAACTTCTTCCCATTGCTTTCACTCAACATAAATAGCTGTGTGTGCTCTGGAAAATACCAGTTTATTAATTTATTGGCCCAGGCTTATAAGTTGTTAGTGATGTAAGATATGCATGAAGCTGGAAAAATATGTGTTGGAAACACATAAATTTCTTAAAATTTGGAGAAAGAAAAATGGCTTCAGATTGGCAGTCCCAAATGCCCAAATCCAGTCCAGTTAACTGTTAGGATTAGTTCAGCAGGCTGTGACCATGAGCAGTTACTGAGGTAGTTATTATAAACATGGGACAATGATATGAAAACTTAGCCAGTTCACATGGGAGAAAGTATTTAAGAGAAAGAAAGATGAGAGCTGTGGGGAGGAGAAAATTATATCTAGAGTTCCAGCAGTGCTCCTGTTAGAAAGGGCCACCAAAAGGGTTTGGGGAAATATTGATCCAGTCATGTCATTCTAGCCTTAGGAATAGAATTAAGTACTGCTGGTAGAGCTGTGGGTTGACAAAAAGGTAAAGGACTTTTTTGTTTGCTTGTTTTAATTTTACTATTTGCATAGGTAATATATTCATGTGGCTCAAAATTCAAAGCTACAAAAGTTAATATCCATCCCTATTCCCCACCTGTTTGGTTCCCAACTCTAGAGGCAAACAGTATTATCAATTTCTTATGTATCTTCCAGGATATTTTATGCATATATAAGCAAATATGAACATATATTCTCCTCTTTGCCTGTTCTTTTTTCATGTAATATATCTTGGAGCTTATTTCATGTCAATATATAAAGACCTTTCTTGATATTTTTTATGAGTGTATAGACATCCTACTGTTTGGATGTACCATAACTTAATTAACCAGTCCTTTATTGATCAACATTTGGGTTGTTTCCAATCCTTTGCTATTAACAATACTTTAATGAATAACCTTGTACATATATCATTTTGCATGTGTTAGTATCGCCTAGGATATATTCCTAAAAGTGGAATTGTTGGGTCAGAGGCTGTATGCATTTGTAGTTTTGACAAGTATTAGTAGATTGCTATAGAGAGTACCACTTTATACTCTGACAAGTAATATAGGAGAATGCCTGTTTCTCCATACCCTCAACCCTATCAATCCTACAGTGTTATCAAGCATTTTGACCTTTGCTAATCTAATAGATGAAAAAGGATATTTGTAGTCAAGTATTTTTCCCCAAATGTTTTTTACTGTGGTAAAATGCACATAAAATTTACCATCTTAACTGTTTTTAAGTGTCCAGTTCAGTGATACTAAATATATTCATAATGTTGTGCAACCATCACCGCCATCCATCTTCAGAACAATTTTCATTTTATAAAACTGAAATTCTATACCTGTTAAACAGTAATTCCCATTCCTCCCTCCCCCAGCCCCTGGAAACCCCCATTCTTCTCTCTGTCTCTATGATTTTGACTGTTCTGAGTATATCATGTGAGTGGAATAATACAGTATTTGTCTTTTTGTGACTGGCGTATTTCAGTTAGCATAATGTCCTCAAGGTTCATCAATGTTGTAGCATATTGCAGAATTTCCTTCCTTTTTAAGGCCGAATAATAGTCCATTATATGTATATAGCACATTTTGCTTATCCATTCATCCATTGAAGGACACTTGAGTTGCTTCCACATTTTAGCTATTGTGAATAATGCTGCTATGAACGTGGGTGTACAAATATCTCTTCAAGACCCTGCTTTCAACTCTTTCAAGTATGTACCCAGAAGCGGAATTGCTGGATCATATGGTAATTTTAGTTTTAATTTTTTGAGGAACTGCCATACTGTTTTCCACAGCAGCTGTACCATTTTACATTCTTACCACAAGTGCACAAGAGTTCCAATTTCTCCACATCCTCTTCAGCACTTGTTGTGTTCGTTTTTTTGATAGTACCCATCCTAATGAGTGTGAAATGATATCTCATTGTAGTTTTTTTTTTTTTTTAGTTTTATTTATTTATTTTTCCCCCAAAGCCCCAGTAGATAGTTGTATGTCACAGTTGCACAACCTTCTAGTTGCTGTATGTGGGACGCGGCCTCAGCATGGCCGGAGAAGCGGTGCGCCGGTGCGCGCCCGGGATCCGAACCCGGGCCGCCAACAGCGGAGCGCATGCACTTAACCACTAAGCCATGGGGCCGGCCCCTCATTGTAGTTTTGATTTGCTTTTTCGTAGTGATTCGTGATGTTGGACATCTTTTTGTATGTTTGTTGGCCATTTGTCTATCTTGTTTGGAGAAACATCTATTCATATCCTTTGCCCATTTTTTAACTGGGTTTTTTTTTTTTATTCTGAGTTTTAGGAGTTCTCTCTATATTCTAGATATTAATCCCTTATCAGATATATGATTTGCAAATATTTTCTCCCATTCTGTGAGTTGCCTTTTTACTCTGTTGATATAGTATCTTTTGACGTACACAAGTTTTTGATTTTCATGAAGTCCAGTTTGACTTTTTTTTTAATCTATGCCTTTGGTGTCATATCTAAGAAATTATTGCCAAATCCAATGTCATGAAGCTTTTGTCCTACATTTTCTTTTAAGAGTTTTATTGTTTTAGGTTTTACAGTTAGGTTTTTGATCTATTTTGAGTTAATTTTTTTTTTTTTTTTTTTTTTTTTTTTTTGTGAGGAGATCAGCCCTGTGCTAACATCCGCCAGTCCTCCTCTTTTTTTTTTGCTGAGGAAGATGGCTCTGGGCTGACAACTGTGCCCATCTTCCTCCACTTTATATGGGACACCGCCACAGCATGGCTTGCCAAGCAGTGTGTCGGTGTGCGCCCGGGATCCGAACCAGCGAACCCCGGGCCGCCGCAGCGGAGCGTGCGCACTTAACCGCTTGCGCCACCGGGCCGGCCCCAAGTTAATTTTTTGTATTTGGTATTAAGTAAGCGTCTCATTTTATTCTTTTATATGTGAATATCTGGTTTTCCCAGCACCATTTGTTGAAAAGACTGTCCTTTCCCCATTGAGTGGTCTTGGCACCTTTGTCCAAAAACATTTGACCATATATGTGAGAGTTTATTTCTGGGCTCTTTATTCTGTTTCATTGGTCGGTATGTTTGTTTTTATGCCAGTACCACATTGTGTTGATTATTGTAGCTTGATAGTAAATTTTGAAGTCAGGAAGTGTGAGTCCTCTAGTTTTGTTGTTCTTTTTGTTTTGGCTGTTTGGGGTTCCTGGAGATTCCATATGGATTTTAGGATGGGCTTTTCTGTTTTTGCAAAAGACATGATTAGGATTTTGATAGGGATTGCATTGAATCTGTTGATCACTTTTGTTAGTATTGGCATTTTAACAATATTAAGTCTTCCAGTCCATGAACATGGAATGTGTTTGCATTTATTTATGTCTTCTTTAATTTCAGTCAGCAGCGTTTCGTAGTTTTTATTGTACAAGTCTTTCACCTCCTTGGTTAAGTTAATTCCTAAGTATTTTATTTTTGATGCTATTGTAAATGGAATTGTTTTTGTAATTTCCTTTTCAGATTGTTTTTTCCTGTATAGAAATGCAAGTTTTGTTTTATTGATTTTTGTTTTTTAACTTTGTATCCTGCTGCTTCACTAAATTTATTTATTAGTTCTAACAGTTATTTTGTGGAGTCTTCAGAGTTTTCTACATATAAGATCATATCATCTGCAAACAGAGACAATTTTACTTTTTTCTTTCTAACTTGGATACCTTTTATCTCTTTCTCTTGCCTAATTGCCCCAGCTAGAATTTTCAGTGCTATGTTGAATAGAAGTGGCAAAAGCGGGCATCCTTGCCTTGTTCCTGATCTTTGAGGAAAAGCTTTCAATCTTTCACCATTTTTCGCTGTGGGTTTTTCACATATGGCTTTTATTATATTGAGGTAGTTTTCTTCTAGTCCCAGTTTTTTGAGTGTTTTTATCATGAAAGGGTATTGAATTTTGTCACATGCTTTTTCTGCATCAATGAGATGATCATGTGGTTTTTTTGGATAAATTTTCTTATATTGAACCATCCTTGCATTCCAGGGATAAATCCAACTTGTTCATGATGTATAATCTTTTTAATATGCTGCTGAATTTGATTTGGCAGTATTTTGTTGAGGATTTTTGCGTGAGTGTTAGTAAGGGATATTGGTGTGTAGCTTTCTTTTCTTATAGTGCCTTTGTCTGGCTTAGGTATCAGGGTAGTGCTGGCCTCATAGAATGAGTTTAGGAAGTGTTCCCTCCTCTTCAATCTTTTGGAAAAATTTGAGAAGAACTGGTACTAGTTCTTCTGTAAATGTTTGCTAGACTTCACCAGTGAAGTCATTGAGTCCAGGACTTTTCTTTGTCAGGAGATTTTTGATTACTGATTCAATCTTCTTACTAGTTACAGGTCTATTCAGATTTTCTATTTCTTCATAATTTAGTCTTGGTAGGTTTCGTATTTCTAGGAATTGGTCCATTTCATCTAGGTTATCCAATTTGTTGGCATACAATTGTTCATAGTAGTCTATTTTAATCTTTTTTATTTCTGTAGAAATGGTAGTAATGTCTCCACATTCATTTCTGATTTTTGTAATTTGAGTCTTCTCTCTTTTTTTCTTAGTCCATCTACCTAAAGCTTTGTCAATTTTGTTGATAGTTTTGAATAACCAGCTTCTGGCTGTAAATTTCCCCCTTAGAACCACTTTCACTGCATCCTATAAGTTTTAGTATGTTGTGCTTTCATTTTCACTCATCTCTAAGTATTTTCTAATTCCCCTTGTGATTTCTTCTTTGATCATTTTGTTATTTAAAAATGTGTTGTTTAATTTACACAATATTGTGAATTTTCCAGTTTTCTTTCTGTTATTGATTTCTAACTTCATCCCATTGTGGTCAGAGAAGATGCTGTGTGTTATATCTATTTTTAAAAATCTATTGAGACTTTTTGTGGCCTAACATGTGCTGTAGCCTGGAAAATGTCCCATGTGCACTTGAGAAGAATGTGTATGCTGTTGTTGTTGGGTAGAGTGTTCTGTATATGTCTATTAGATCTAGTTGATCTATCATGTTGTTTAAATCCTCTGTTTCTTTACTTATCTTCTGTCTGATTGTTCTATCTATTATTGTGAGTGGGATATTGAAGTCTCCAGGTATTATTGTAGAACTGTCTGTTTCTCTCTTCAATTCTGTTAGTTATTGCTTCATATATTTTGTG